TTAGTTTTCTTTTTCTTTTTTGGCGGCATTACGAATGAATGAATATTTTTTATTATTTTTGAGAATAGAATTTGATTTGCTCAAGCCGGCTAAGCCGTTTAAAAATTTCTTAGCCGGCTGAGCCGTGTAAGCCGACTAAGCCGGCTAAGCCGATAAATTTCTTAGCCGGCCGATTTTTCAAAATCTTTTTAATACCTTTACCACTTCAAACTAACATCACTAAAAAATTCTACAGTCAAACCTCACAGCGGATTCATGGTACCCCATCAAAAATCCGCTAACGTAGTGGAGCAAATTAAAATTTATTAATAAAATCCGTTATGACAAACATTTTTAATTAATATTAATATTAATAAAAAAAGGGCCAATATTTAAATCCGTTGTAACAAGAAATCCGCTGTGACGAGATTTGACTGTATTATTCTTTTTTGTACTTTTATGCATGAATAAAGGATTTTTCTACGACGTGCAGATTTTGGGGCTTCCTCATTCATTTGCGGATCGGCAATTAAACTAATTTCGAATGGGCTTTCAATATGTCAACAACTATTACTAATTTACAGAATAAAAAATTATTCAAAAAAAATTTTGGTTTTTATTTTATCAAATCTAAAGAATGAGCATTAGTCATTCATCGCATCTTTTACTAATGTTTATTAATTCATTAATTAATATTATTTAGTAATAATTAATGTATAATAATTTCCAATTGAAATTTTAGAGAAAAGAGTTACAATAATGATTATTAATCTATCGCTAATATTTATAAGATTTTCATAAAATTTCTTGGATTATTAATCCTTCTTCTGATTATTAATTACTTTGAAAATATTAAATCTTATTTATCTTTTAAATATTATTAATATCTTATTAATCATTCTGAGTATCGCGATCAGCAATTGTTATCTCTACTCCTACTGGATTTTAGCGATAATTTCGCATGAACTTGTTCCTTGATAATCTTCATTATCTTATTCCATAGGTCTGAATCTTGGGTTAAGTTATTATTCCAGGGTTGATGATCCTTTCCTTTAATTCTTCTTTTTCTTGTGGCTTTTTTTTGGTAATGATTTTTCTACTTGTATTTCCTTTTATTAGTTCATTGATACGGAATTATCATTGCTTCTACCGCTTCTATGGAGGCGGTTTTCCTTCTTGATGGCCAATAATAAATATAATACATTTACAAATCTATTTTTTCTTCCCATTTATTGGTCTATTTTTGTCCTAGTGATTTCTTTTAGATGTCTCCGCTTTATCAGCTTCCAATTTTTTTGATTATTTTCTTTCTTAGATCAATTATCATCATTTCTTTCGTGTAACAGCAAAATCTTTTAAATTTTTTTTAAATGCATCATTCCTCGAAATATAAATCATTAAAGAGAAAATCATACAGACTCACCTCAAACCTTTATATACAAACTGGATATAGTTAAAAAAAAAAAAACGGACGATCTGTAATGTGAACATATGTTAGAGCAAGTCAATAAATACATATTTACATACAATTAATATTAACATCGTTAGTTTCATCATTATTAATAAAAAATGGTAAGTAATTAAGTCTTTCAAAAAACTTCATTTGGAAGCAAATAGATCAGCACTAGCACCAGCAAAGAAATTAAATAAAAGCGTGTGAGTGAGAGAAAAAAAGAAAAATAACAAGTAAAAATAGTATTATGAGAATTTTCAACCGGATTTTTAAGAATGAATCAGAAGATCGGTTGATTCGAACCCACCTTTAAAAGACGATGATCATTTTCATGAATCAAAATCCAAAAATTCAAAAATAACAAACACCTTGAAAATTTAACCTCGCGCTCAAAAATTACGTTATAAAAAAATGGGGTTCTCAGCTACTCAGCATTCAGCACTCATAAATCACTATTATTGAGTATTTCTATACCACACTTTTACTTTCGTGAAATAGCTAATTTTTTTTTTTAATAACACAAAAAAAGATTGAACATTTGCCGTGTCACGATCTCCTTCCAAAACCCGCAAGTCGTGCGACTTCCGTGTAGCCTTTTACCGATTGTCTCTTTTTACGTCTATCCGTGCCTGGTTTTTTCGGTTTTTGGCGCGATCAATGTTTTCACCATACTTGGCAAAAATTTTTGTTGTACGGCAAATGTTTTGTTTTATAAAAAATGTTGCAATAATATATTTACAAATAGCTTCATAGATCTTGCCTTTCACACTTACTTTGATCAAACCCACCTATATAATTATTGAATAATAAAATGTTCATTTTGGAAAACCTGATTTGCAAACAGATCATGACTTTAGCACTTATTTTGATTGAACCTGCCTATATTTGGAATGATTGATAAAAACATTCATTAAATATATTTTGCAAACAACTTCACAGATCTTGACTTTAATACTTATTTCAATCACTCCTATACAAAATATTGAATAATTGATAAAACGTTCATTTGCAAAACTTGATTTGCAAACTTCTTAGATCTTGTATTTAACACTTACTTTGATCACGCCTATACAAAATATTGAATAATTGACAAACGTTTATAAGTATATTTTACAAACTTCTTTGGAAGCTTCATACATTGCCAAACATCTTGTATTTAACATTTACTTCCACAAACTCACCAACCCTTTTTCTATGAATTTTTATTTTTTTTAAATTACGCAGGGTTACACAATAAAAATTATGGAATGGAATTTGTCCAATAGAATAATGTAAATTGTATATATCCCATGTGCAAGTTGGTATATATATAAGACTCATTTTTCCATTACTAGTATTTATCTCAGGGTAAGACATGTAATGGCGAACCCATGTGACTCACTTAAATGTGTTATTAAAGTCCAGCAAGTGAGATATTGGAACTCTTGCTGGTGGCTCATGGACCCTTTGTGGCATGACTAGAGATGGGCAAATGGCGTATAGTTGAACACTATACGATACTTTACGATACTTTACGTATAGTGCGTATAGTGCGTATAGTACGTATAGTAGTGTTGAAATTTGGTTGGGTGATTTTCAAATAATAAGAAAAAAAAAATTTGGATATTACGATAAGCATAAATCTTTAATTTTTGGCAACCCGACTAGTGTGCTTCGGGTCATTGTCTTTTGGAATCTCCACCGTCTATCAAGCATCCTTCTGATTTCTGGAAGGTACTGGCGCAAAATCTCAACATAAAACTCCCCATTCATGATCTCAGTGAAGCAAAACAAGCTAGTCTTCCCTTTAACACAAAACCCGCCCCAGGCAAAGACTTTTTGTCGATCTTTAGGAAGTGGCTGAATAGGCTTTGGACCCCTATACCATCGTTTTATTGTGTTCATAAACAGATGGAAGGCTGTTTAGTCAGAAAACAAGGTCCTTTCCCAACTATTATTTAGGTGATTCCTAGCACATTCGACTCGACTTGCCTTGTGATTAACCGTGAGCATTGGGGTACCAGTTGAAAGTGCATTTTTGTAGCCAAGCTCTGTCAATCTTCTCGCTACAGCCATATGCGATACAGAATTTTCATTATTGGATAATTCTATTGCCAGGGTTCGCAAAGATGTGGAATTGTCATTGTAAATGTATTACTCAAGCTCATGCGTCATTGCTGATCCTATCTTTTTTAGACGGCTATTACCTCCCTTATGTGAAACATCCCCGGTTTCTTTTATTTTTTTAATATTATATTTGACTGTTGATATGGGAATGTTAGATTTTGTGTGAAGTTCCTTTGGGGAATGTATTCCTTGGTTCCAATAATAAAGAAGCGTTGAACGTTGCAAATCGAGCTTTTTTGATGACATTTTTTTATGTTGACAAAACTAAAATTGATGGTTCAAAAAGTTTGTTTTCTCCGAAAGGAAATTAAAAATAAAATTTGATCAAAATCAAAAAAAATTTGTACATACAGTATTGTTTGTTTATCGATCATTGAATTGACCGATAATAATAATAGTAATAATGACAACAAAATAAAATGTAAAAAAGTGTTTTTGAATTCTGATCTCATGACCCAAAAATATACTAACACTAACATGATCCAGGACCTGGGGTAAAAGCTCCAAGCAAGTTCATAAGTTTTGTCATTTTGAACGATCCGAAACTTCAGAGAAAGACGTAAACCTAACAATAGGAACCACGCAAAAAAAAATTTAAAGCGAACATGATTTCTTTTCAGTCAAGTTCAACTCTGACTTTTTGATAATTTTTTGTAGATAGAAATGATAATTTACATGGTACAGCGATGTAAAAATAATATCATTTTTGGAAACGAAAATCCCAAAAAAAGGAAAAAACGACTCATTATAAAGTTTTGCCCATAGATTTTGATCTCATCCTTTCCCAAAAATTTAGTTTATTAAAGTTGAGCAACAAAATGTTTAGAATATTCGTAACTCGTTACCTTAACTGCACCGAATTTACCGTTTTAGGTCTTAACGAGCTTCTTTACAATAGAATATTCAAATTCGGGTAAATTTGTTAAACAAAATAAATATATTATTACACAAAATATAAAAATATAAAAATTCAGAATGAACTGTAACACAGCACCCTTTCTTGTGTATGTTAAAAAAAAATTACTACTCTATTTATTAAAACGTAAAGTAATGTATGCCAAACTATTATCATCGTTATCATTAGAAAGAATGGAATTTGTATATAAAATTAATGGTGAAATATACAATAATGCTAATGCTAATTCTGATAGAGAAAGTAGAAAGGATTATTTTTTTTCAT